CCCACTCTCTGTCTGGTGAATCCTCTCACCCTCCGCATCTCTGGCCTGTACCCCAGTTCTGTATGAATAAATAAATAAATCTTTAAAAAAAAGTAGCAGTAGTGATTCTTTACTACTCATTTCAAAGTCTATTTTTGCATAACTTTGATAGGGAATTTTGTCTGCCTAACATAGATAATTGGAATGGAAACGTGTTTCATTATGTGGCTTTGATTGGAATTCTACCAGGAAGTTGAATTTGACCAAAACCAAGAAGAGGAGAACCTACTATTTTGTATATACAGTTCCAGAGACCTCCAAAGAAGGTGAGAAAGCTTGCCTCCATTGGCAGGACTGGACAACTGGAAGAAGAAAAGGTCCTGGTAACCTCAAGAAGAGAGAAACCCAGGTGTACTCTGGTGAGGTCAACTTTGTTCTTGACATCTAGATCAGATGTAAAGAGTTCATTCTGGTGCTATATGGAGTATTCCAAAAAGCCAACTAAAATTGCTGTTTGATTATTCAGCCCTGTGCTTTTATGCAAGAATAGGAAAGATTGTTTTTTAAAAGGTTTAGTTTACAACTTTTTACTGTACTGTTAGATAAAGTTGGGATCAAGGTTGAGAGAACTTGTTTTTAGATGAGTAAAACTATTTTTAAAAATCTTTTTTCTTGGGCCCTCCCTGGTGGCACAATGGGTAAGGACTCAGCTTGCTGCAGCAGCTTCAGTGTGAGTTTGAGTTCGATTTCCAGCCCCCACGGTGATCCACACAGCACAGTAGACCTCTTCTGACCAGCCCACTGCTCCCCTCAGCAGTGTACTTTGTCAATCAGCCTGTTCTGCTCCCCCCTCTGTCTCTGGTGAATCCTCTCACCGCCCCTGCACCTCTGGCCTGTACCCCAGTTCTGAATGCATAAATAGTAAATACATCTTTTAAGATAAATTTTTAAAAATGAAAACAAAAGTTTTTTTCTTCCTGTGATTTTTATATATTTGCTGTTTTGTTTTGGCTATTTCTTTTTGGCATGCATTGACAAACTATTTTCCAGAAATGGAGGACTTTTGTTTGCCATGCTGAACAATACCTGGAGAGACTGCCTGCAGTTATTTTTTTCTTCCAAACTGGAACCCTGAAATATTAACATCTAAGGCAGTACCCCAGCACCCACACTTTTGACCTTCATTACCACAGAAATGGTGGCAAAAGTAAAAGGAGGGAATTGTTAGGGGGGAAGAATGCCCTGAAGGAACTCCACAGGTTTTGTGGACCCCCACTCCAGACCAAAGCCATCAAGACACTGGGATTTACAAATCCCATAGCACATAACAGGGTTGTCTTGTAACAAAACTTCTAAATTATCCAAGAACTCATAGCTCCCTATCTGCTGCTTTTCTTTCAAGGTCTGGAAAATTAATCACGAGCTGCATAAGAAAGAGGTATTGTAATAGGATGGTCCCTAGGAAAAGGGGAAGTTCCAGGTTCCCTGCCCTACCCAGAAGGAGGGTGGAGCTGAGGAGAGAAAAAGCAGAGAAGAGAAGGAATCTGGGAAGGAAGCAGATGGAGAGCCAGAGGAGACCTGTAGGAGCTGTTTTGTCCTGACTTCTGTGACCGGCAGCAAGAAAGACAGGGAGGCAGATAGGCTGAGCAAGCAGAGTATATTGCTCCTGGGTAGCAGCTGAGATGGAGCCCCTAGGGTGGGGTCCGCAGCTACTGCCAACCCAATAAGGGGGAAGGGTCTCTTATTCAAAGGGGTAACTTATCCTGTGTCCTTGAAGTGAGGCCCAGTTAGTTACCACCTTCAGCTAGCCCATCCCAGATTCAAGGCCCAATTAATTTATCACCCTTGGATGCAAGGCCCAATTATTACCACCCTTACCCAGTCCTCATCAGTAAGTCTTGTGTTGGGAGTGGCCAAAGATTTACTGACAAGGTCTGAATTAGAGCAGTAAAGAATAGAGCCTTGCATCCAAGCTTGATAAAATGGTAATAAACTGACCGTGAGATCCTGGATGGGACTAGCTGAAGGTAATAATGAACTGGGCCTCACATCAAGGACACAGCGATGAGTCACCCCTTGGGAATCTGAGTTTAGAACCTATATAAGAGACCCTTCCCCCTTATTGAGTGGGCAGTAGCAGAGCCACTCTAGCGGCTCCGTCTCAGCTGCTGTCCGGGAGCAATAAACTCTGCTTGCTCAGTGAAGGACAACAGTTTGGCTAACTCTGAAATTCTGGGCCCTGGCTGATAGGCTGAGAAGGAGACCGTCCTTGGCTCCAACTGGGCCTGGCCATCTTTCCCTGCCAGATATGGCATGGGCTTAGTCCGTCCTGCTTATTGTATCTTTTCTTTTCGGACACTCTTCCGGCGACTCCTCCTGCCTCTCTCTCTGTCTGACTGTGGCAGGCCAATGGGCACTCGACATAACTTTAATGTGTATATAAGTTCAGCTCTGAAATAAAATAGCACTTCTTCTTCTTCCTTTTGGTGAACAGACTCACGGTGTCTGTCTTTCCTTCTGCCTTTATCTTTCACTCAGCCTTTCTGCCTCCAGCATTCCTTTCTTGCAGCCCGTCACAGAAGTTGGGACAAAACATCTGGGTTGACTTTTGCCCATGAGGGAATGGGTAACTTCAGGTATTGACTTAGAAATTATATTCTTTGTCTTTTCCATATTATACACTCATTGTATTAAAGTTCCTTTCCTCTTATGTTCCTAAAGTTCCTAAAGCTCTTATGCCTTGTTTGATGTGGTGGATGGCAGAACCTACTTAGAGCAGGCAGGTTTGGGGGTTCAGTGGTGCCCCTCTCCCTGCCCTATAACAATATTATTATGATTTGACGACTACCACTTTTTGACTCGGTGTTGTCCCAATATTGTTATATGCATTTAATCCAATCTTAACATTCACAAGAATTCTATGAAGTAATACAGGAATCAGAGAAATGGAATGATTTCCCCAGATTTCTGACTCCAGAGTTGGTGATTTTTATACTTCACCACAATTTACATTTATTTGTGTAAGTGCTGCCCAGTTTTCTCATCTATTCTTTTATAATCAAAATGATTGTGGAGGGCCTCCCTGGTGGCCAAGGGGTTAAACTGCAGCACTACAAGGCTACCTGCAGCCAAAGCAGCAGGAGTTCAGCTGCTGGCCCCAGAGGTGATTCTTGTGGTGCCAAGACTTCTCTGGGCCCCTTGCTGCTCCCCTCAGCAGAGCATTTGAGTGCCTGCCAGTTCTACTTCCCACTGTCTCTGGCCAATCCTCTCACACACACCCTCACTGCACCTCTGGTCTGTACCCCAGTTCTTGTATACATAAATTTCAAAAAAATTTTTAAAAAGACAATTATATAAAGTAGCTCAGAATGGTGAAATGATTTGCTCAAGGACGCACAGCTATGATCTTTAATAATTATTTTTCTTTTCTTGAAGGGAGAATTTTTTGTCCTCTATTCCAGAGATGCAGTAATCAGTTCCTACAAGAAGGGTAAAAAGGTTGGTAAAAAGGTAAAAAGAATGTTAGTTCCCTAAACCCAGTGGATGTGAGCAGGCAGGCATAGTCCAGAAATAGCTCTCAAACTTCTTTTTACCATAGAAATAAGGTCTAAGAATCAGGTTTGAGATATGCGTGGGCTTTTTGGGTGGTAACTGTCCTGCAATTTCCCCATCAGTTCAGTCTCCTGGTTCTCCTGGAGTGTTTTCTTTTCCCACCTGGCCCCCCGGGCTGTCTTCAAAGAGTCTACTGGGTTCCTGGCCCTTTGTGGGGGAGTGTGGAGAGACAACTCTGCTCCTGTTATAGGGCAGCAAATCTGTTCCAGGACAGGGGGAGAGAGACACCCTTAAAGCCCCCAAAACCTGCCTGTTCTAAGTGGGTTCTGCCATCTGCCGCAACAAGACAAAACATATAAAACTTTACTGAAAAGGGACTTTAATACAGTAAATATACAATACGGAACTTCTAAATCAAACACCTGAAGTTACCCATCCCCTCGTGGGCAAAAGTCAACCCAAAAGGGGTTGGCCCAAAGCAAGGCCTGAAAGCTGCCACTAGACTAAAGCACCTTCTGGCCGGGACCCATGGAAAAGGGTCAGAAATGGCCAGACAAATCTGGGAGCAAAAGAGCAAAATCAAAATCAATATAAACACTGCCACAGTCACCTCCCCACAGGTATCTCACCCACATCTGCCTTAACCAGTCCAGGGTCAGGAAACAAGCCCGGTTTCTTAAATCACATGCTTCCTCAAGTCTCCAGGCTCTCCATCCTGCTTGTTTCTCCTCTTCTATCTCCTTTTTCTCTGCTCAGCTCCACCCTCCTTCTGGGTAGGGCAGAGAAACTGGAACTTCCCCTTTTCCTAGGGACCACCCTATTATACTCCCTCCGGTGCTTCAGCCTGCCCAGCTTGAGCTGAATGTCCCAACCCCAAGTCCTCTGTTTTTGGGAGGCAACGATCCCCAAGAACAAGCGCTTTTCCGGACCCTGTCTAGGAATCTAGGAAGCAGGTTGGGTTTTTTTGGGTTTTTTGTTTTTTCTTTTTTGCTTAAGGGAATTTGCTTAGAGTAGGGATTATTATGCAAAATAGGAGTAGAAGTAGGAGGAGAAAGATGAGAAGGCAGTTAAGGAGTCAGGGAAAACTGCTCAGCTGGCCAGCGGAGTCTCTCTAAAGCTGTGGGGAGCCAAAGTCCAGCCCTGAGCAAGGTAAGAAGTTTGTTTTCTCAAGTAGGCTGTTAATCCAGGACCACGGGGTAGTTTATGATATATTTCAGGCAGTTAAACTGAGAGTTTTGATGGCAAAAGGTGCCCCTCTCCCAATCTGAATATCTGGTAGAATCTTCCCCCTGCTCCCAAAGCAGAAATTGCCTGCTAAGAACTCTGCCACCCCTACCCAGTTCCATCCCTAAATGATAAAGCACCTGAAAGGCACTGGCTATTCCGAAGTATATTTTAAAACTAGTCCTGCAGATGCATTGATTTATTCAGTTCCTAGCTTCAGAGTTTAACTGTCTACTTCCTGCAGCTGCTCCTCTGCCCCCGTGCTAGGGATATGTGTGTGTTGCTGCGGAGACAGGGAGGTGGGTGGTTAGGCTTTCCAGAGCTCAGGTGAACATGTAGCATGATCACTGAAAACACTCAGACCTAGGCCCCAAAAGATCAAGAAGCTTATTTCACCACTGTGTGAATAAATGAAGATTCAGTTTACGTATTCTGAAGAAACAGGTGTGATCATCACTGACCTTTAAATGTCTAATTGGATTCTTCTGACTGTGGCTTTCAAGCTTACAGAGAACCACTCATGTGTAAAATAAGAAGATGCCAGCTATGAAGCCAGTTAACTAGGCAACCTAGAAGAGATCTCTCTGTTGCATGATCTTACATGAATTTGGAATGTCTCACTGGAACTGAAATATGTATATGTGCAACATAAAAATACGTTGTCCTGTCTTCCTTACTGGAATCAATGAAGGCACCTCAAACAGTATAAAGTGCTCTACAATGCTTGTTCATTCTGGCATTCATTAGGTGGCTGTTTCTTGAGTACCTGCCGTGTGCCAGACACTGTTGCTGGCACTAGCAACCCAGCAGCAGCCAGGACCTTGGTCCTGTCCTCCTGGCACTTTCCGTCTACACAGTTTCATATTATGTGGGCTTCCTTTGCCTGGTGTTTTTCCTCCACAGCTTTCTTAGGTCAACAACTACTGGTGTGGATGTTGCTTTTCCCCAAACCAGCTCTGTTTGTGAAATGTCTTCTGTCATCTCTAACTCCAGGTTTCGGGGGCAGACTCTCCCTGGGGAATGTAAGTGAGGAATGTGCCAGTGGCTGGAGTCCAATGCTTTTAAACTGATGTAATTTTGATTCTCAAGAATTCATTCCTAAAAGGTCACCCGATATCACTTCGGGGTCATCTATAATTCAGCGCACTGCAATCCGGCTGCCTGCTGAATGCACCTGACTGTCCTGGCACCTCATGGGCCCACGGCCAGTGGAGCTGCTCCCTCATTCCCACCCTCTGATGTTTTCAAGACCCTGATGCTCTCAGCCCCTTTAATGAGGGCTGTCTTCTGGGTGTGAGGATGGCATGTGCTGAGCAGTTTTTTCCTTTCTCTTTTCCCCTTCTTTTTCTAACTGACCTGGCTAGAGCCAGGGAAGTAGTCTGAGCAATCTATTGCCCTATAAAGGGATTTTTTATTTCTTTTTAAGACTATTTAAAAACATGCTGATGGTTTCCCCCCTGGTTTTAACTAATACTTGCTTGATGTAGGGACTTGCCCTTTAGAGTGAGGTTAACTGTGCCACATGACATAACCCTTTAATTAATATCTTGTTCCAGGCGATTGAGACTGTAATCATTGTGGTTCAATGCTCCCTAGAAGACCTAAATGTTAGTAACTGATACTGACAAGACACCCATGTTATTTAAAAATGGGTCTCAGTGTTACCTGCTTCCTAGCCAGGGTCATGTCCCTGCTCACCCTCAACTAGCTTATTCAACAAATGCTCAGTGAGTCTAATCATTTGTACATTGTGGTATCTGTAAAGAAAATAAAAGAAACTTTAACTTATGGCAGATCCATGGGAGAGACATTTCACACAGTGAGAGCTGGATGTGAATGGAAAGTTTGGGGAACAGCTAGATCTTGGGAAGAAAAGAGACAGCTGTCAGGGAGAAAGCTGACAGGCCACATCCTGGGGAGAGTGGTCCTCACAAATAAATGGCTCAGGGCAAGTTGGGACAGAACTGAAAGTGAATACTGAGCTTCAGGAGCCCAAATGGAAAACAGGAACAACATATCAGAGATCAGATCCCGACAGCTCTGGACATAAAACCTGCAGCTTTCTATTTAATACTGTCCGAAAGTTAGTGAAGCATCTCTGAGCAGAAGAGTGATAAGTCTGCACTTTAAGAGGATCTTTTGGGGCAGGAGTGGACAATGGAGAATGCTGAGAAACACTTCCAGATCCCAGCAAGAGGGAGCTGAGGGATTCACTCACCCAGAGGGCTATTCAGTTGCACACTGAATAGCCAGAAAAGGAAGCTCAGGAAGGCATACTAGCGACTGGGATGGAGTCCCGTCACAGACTTCTCACAAATGCTTGCCACCTCCAAGGACTACAGAGGCAGCTCGTGCCAGACCGCTGGAGAGAGCTAGTGGCTAGATGAGAAGATGTTACAGGACAGGGAGAGGGGGGCACCCCTGAAGCCCCAAACCTGCCTGCTCTAAGTGGGTTCTGCCATCCGCCTCATCAAGACAAAACATAAAAAACTTTAATGGAAAGGGACTTTAATACAGTGAGTATATAATAGGGACCGCAAAGAATATAATTTCTAAATCAAACACCTGAAGTTACCCATCCCCTCGTGGGCAAAAGTCAACCCAAAAGGGGTTGGCCCAGAGCAAGGCCTGAAAGCTGCCACTAGACTAAAGCACCTTCTGGCCAGGACCCATGGAAAAGGGTCAGACATGGTCAGAGGAAAATCTGGGAGGAAAAGAGCAAAATCAAAATCAATATAAGCACTGCCATAGTCACCTCCCCACAGGTATTCACTCACATCTGCCTTAACTGTTACAGGGTCAGGAAACAAGCCCGGTTTCTTCCTCACATGCTTGCTGCTCCATGTGGCTTCCTCAGGTCTCCTTGTTCTCCATCCAGGTTCCTTCTTTTCTTCTCCCCTGATTCCTTCTTTTCTCTCCTTTTTCTCTGCTCAGTTCTACCCTCCTTCTGGGTGGGGCAGGGAACCTGGAACCTCCCCTTTTCAGGGACCACCCTGTTACAGAGACTGCCACATGATGCCTACTTTGTCTTCACAGAGGGACATCACTGTGCTTCTCCCCGTCTCAGTACCTGCCTCTACGCTCATAACAGTCTCTGATGAGACAAGTTTTTCTCGACATCCCTGGCTCTTCTGATCAGCCCATGTTGCCTAGAAGCCAGGCTGTGTCCTGACCTCCATGAAAAGAAGTCGGGCTCACTTTATGAAAACACACTTACTTTCTGGCCAGGGATAATGATCAAAGAAAGTGGTCCAAGGGTTTCTATGGGAATTCTTTAGCACAGGGCACAACCAAAGCCTGACAACAGCTGGGGACAGAGTGAGAAGCTCTGGCTTCAGCTCAGAGAGAGAACGGGCTGAAGCCAGGAGATACTGGCAGTCAAGGAGGGCTCAGAGCCAGGAGGGTTGGGGGGTGGAGATGGGAGTGGAGGAGGGTGTGACTTTGAAAGGTTTACATTCCTAATCCCTAGGAAACTCTTAGCTTTTTCCTGAGTTGACTGTAGGTCCTGTTTATAAAATGTGATCACAGTTTCCTTATTAGCCGTAATTGCAAGGAGTCAAGTTCTGTCCTTTATTTTCCTTTCTTATGTTCCTTTGTCTTCTACCTTTGTTCCAAGACTTTTCTCAAGCACATACTGCCTTTGGGAGAAAAATCTGCTAAAGTCACCTCTTCAGCTTTTGGGAGGTGGGGGGCTTTCTTGCACCATTAACAGTAATGGATAATTTCTCATTCTTTCCTCTTGGGTTAAAATTTAAAAGACCTAGGAACATGTATTTGCTATTCCAGTTTTAAAAAGAGGGATTATCAGGCACTGAAATTCCCTGACATGGTAAAGCACATTTTGGCTACAGAGGAGAGATGACCCTGCCTGGATCCTCCCGGCATATCGGGAGGAAATATGTTGTTGTAACGAATGAAGGAGAAGGGGCACTGCCACTGCCATCCAAGGTTTGATGAGTTACATACACTTCCGAGAAGCTGTGGGGGACTTCCAAGGTAAGCTCATGAGCCAGCAACACTCTACCCCTTCAGGAAGCAAGCTATAAACTCCAAGTCACATCTGTAGCTGTCCAATCCCTCAAAATCCATTCCCTAGAATCCGGACTTGTGGACATAGTGGCTTGCTGCCACAGTGAATGAAGACTTTCTGGACCACAGACAGCAAAGGTACACATAACCATACTCTGATTCTTCTGGTGTCATCATATATGAACATAAAGTTGATTACTGAACCTTTGAAATGGCAAAAGTCTGGAAACAACTCAAACCATCAATGAAGGAACTGGCTAACTTGTGATATGTCCAGAAATAGAATTCTATATAGTCATAAAAGAGAAAAACGAGGCATTTCTGTACCACCAAAAACAAAAAAAGCCAAATGCTGACAGTGTGAATAACTTACTGTTTGTGTGTGTGTGTGTGTGTGTGTGTGTGTGTGTTATAAAGGAAAAATTAAGGCTACTTCCATTTGAATCTTGTATAGTTTTTACAGCAACTGAAAGGACAACATAAAACAATAAAACCTAATTGCTAGGTGGGGTAAAGTAGAAATGGACAGATGGACGGGTGTTGGAAGTAGACTTTGCACTGTATGGTGATGATAAAACACTAGTTCATACTAGCTGTTAACAGGAAAGATGGTACTGATTCAGCAGCTGGTAAAATTCTGAGGTGTTTATGGGGTCCTATGGGTCTGCTAAGGGGCCTATTTGGTCACCATCATTGTTACCTGAAATTTTGCATTCCTAGACAAGGTCAGAATTGCCCTTCAGAAACTGGTCAGTCAGTCAGAGGAGCCAAGTCTTACAAAGCGCCTTTCAAATAAATCAAGAGAAAGCTCTACCACCCTCATCAAGGTGTGCAGCAAGAGGTATGACCAGGAATGCCCTGGGGGCTGGTGAGGGATGCATAAATTTACTCCCAGCTTATAAATCACAAGGTATGACTGGGAATGCCTAGGAGGCCATTGACATATGTAGAACAAGGGACCCTAGAAGCTGATCAGTGGAACACCTTGTTGATAAGTTGAAAACCCTGACTGGGGACTTAGGACTGGATCTCAATTACAATACTGAGTCATCACACAGGTGAGAAGTATCCAGAGAACAGACTCAGAATCCCTAATACAATAGATGACAACTACACCACCCTACCCCTTTTCCTTTTTCTATTTCCCCTTCTCTTTTTCTACTTTCCCTTACAATTAATGTTGTATGGTTATTCCATCAATAAAAAGGCCAGGATCTTGCTCTTGAGCAGCATCCTACATTATGTGGCCTGCTCTGTGACTTAAAAAAAATTAAAAATAAATAAAAACATGTTGTTATAATTGATACATTATATTAGGTTCAGGTGTACAATATAACCATGTTCTATGTATAAGTCTAGTTAACATCCATTACCATAGGTAGTTACAAAAATTTTTTCTTGTGATAAGAATTTTTTTTTAAGATTTATTTATGCATAAAGAACTGGGGTATGGGCCAGAAGTACAGATGTGATGAGAGGATTCACCAGAGACAGAATGGGGAGCAGAACAGGCAGATGTACTGAAATACACTGCTGAGGGGAGCAGCAGGCCAGACAGGAGAAGTCTGCAGCACCACATGTGGGTCAGCTCCCTGGCCAGGGATCAAACTCAGGCCATAGTGGTGATAGCACTGAGACTTAATCCCTAGGACACTATAGGATTTATTGACTAACTGTATAGGATAGGAATTGACTCAGAGAAGGATCTGAGTAACTGGTGGCAAGAAACTTCCAGAACTCTATCATGTGCTTTGGCGGGATGTAAAAAGAAGGGGACTTTCTAGAGGAAAGAGGTGAAAATTATTTACTAAAAAAAGCAGCCTAACAGCCCTCTGATTGTTCCTTCAAGGTCTTCTGACTCAGCAAGATGTCACTGTTCAAAAGGATGAAGCTGCTGCTATTCCTGGTTTCCCAGATGGCCATCATTGCTTTCTTTATTCTCCTGTACCCCCACTACTTCAAACCCCCGCCCCCTGAAGAGGAGCCCAAGCCCAAGCCCATGCATGTATTAGTTCTATCTTCATGGCGCTCAGGCTCTTCTTTTGTGGGGCAGCTTTTTGGACAGCACCCAGATGTCTTCTACCTGATGGAACCTGCATGGCATGTGTGGATGACCTTTAGTCAGAGCAGTGCCTCCAGACTGCATATGGCAGTGCGGGATCTGATACGAGCAGTCTTCCTGTGCGACATGAGTGTCTTTGATGCCTACATGACTCCTGGACCCCGACTGCAGTCCAGCCTCTTTATGTGGGAAACCAGCAGGGCCCTGTGTTCCCCGCCTGCCTGCAATGTCTTCCTGCGCAATGAGATTATATCCCAGCCCCAGTGCAAGTTGATGTGCAGCAAGGAGCCCTTCGAGGTGGTGGAAAAGGCCTGCCGCTCTTACAGCCACGTGGTACTCAAGGAGGTACGCTTCTTCAACCTGCAGGTGCTCTACCCGCTGCTGAGAGACCCCTCTCTGAATCTGCACATCGTGCACCTGGTGCGTGACCCCCGGGCAGTATTCAAGTCCCGGGAACACACTACACTAGAACTCTCAATCGACAGCAACATTGTGATGGGGCCAGAGTGGAAGAAAAGCAACAAGGATCAACCTTACGAAGTGATGCAGGTTATCTGCCACAGTCAGCTGGAGATCTACAAGGCTGTGCAGTCCCTGCCCAAAGCCCTGCGGCAGCGCTACCTCCTCATGCGCTATGAGGACCTGGTCCGGGACCCTGTGCGTCAGACGGCGCAACTGTATGAATTCACAGGGTTGAAATTTTTACCCCATCTCCAGAACTGGGTGCACAATATCACACAGGGCAAGGGCATGGGGGACCATGCCTTTGCCACAAACACCAGGAATGCCCGTAAAGTCTCCGAGGCCTGGCGCTGGTCCTTGCCTCATGAAAAAGTTTCTCAAATTCAAGAACTCTGTGGCCATACTATGAATTTGCTGGGCTACCGCCTACTCAAATCTAAACAAGAACAGAAAAATCTGTCACTGGATGTTCTGTCAACTTGGGCCCCCTCTAAGCAAGATGACCAGGAGGGCTAAGGAAGCTCTCTCCCCACCTGGCACCAGCTTTTGCCACATAACTGAGGCTTCTGAGCCTCAATTATGTCTCTGTTGGTGTATGCGTGAGCATGAGGTATGTGCAAACAAGCTCAAGCCAAGAAATCATGTGTCTCTACTCATGTCTAGAAAAGAAACTTAGGAGCCTCCTTTGAGTGGCACGTTTCAGCAGTGAAACAGAAGCAATGCCCTGGCTTTCTGTCTTTGTATACTTCAAAGACTTGTGGGCTGGAAGCCTGTCAGGAACCACACTGTATCAGTGTGTAAGTCCATGAGTGTCCTGTGGGAGGGGGGAGAGAAAAGGGGACAGGGAAAGCCAGGAAAATGGCTCTTCTACCAAAGTGTTCACTGGCACATTCTACAGAGGTATGGTCTTTGAAACCTGATGAACTCAAAAAGGGAGTGGAGAATAAAGTTGGCTTTTACCGGAAGGCTTTGCCAGGACAGCTACTAAATACACAAACAAGATCCCTGGTGGTGCAAGGGTGGCACAAGTCTCAGCACTATGAAGTAATCAGCAGCCACTGCAGCACCAGTTCCATCCCTGGCTAGAGAGCTGACCCACACGGCACAGCAGACCTCTCCTGTCTTGCCCACTGCTCCCCTCAGCAGTATATTTCAGTCCATCTGTCCCTCACTGTCTCTGCTAAATCATCTCACCCCTCCACACACACCTCTGACCTATACCTCAGTTCTTGTATGCATAAGTAAATAAATCTTTTTTAAAAAGTAAGATCTCTGCACACTAGTTCATAGGGTGGCTACACCCAATCTGGCTGTCATTTCCCCCCAAGTGTTTTCCCATCACATAGAAGATTTTGACCCGGGAAGCTGTCATCCATTAATGCTAAAACCCTAAAATAAGACTGCTTGGAATATCTCCTTTTGTGTATATACCTAGTAGTATATACTTATTCTTATGGGATCCTAGTATAGAAACATGATCATATTTACGAATTTTTTTCAATGCTTTTGCCATTATCTATAAATCAAATCATTATATGCCACACAATGGGTTAAAGCACAGCACTGCAAAGCTAGCCTCAGCCGCTTGCATGAGTTCATTCCCCCACCGGAGAGGTGACCCACATGGCGCAGCAGACTTCTCCCTTCTCCTGTCTCACCCACTGCTCCCCTCAGCAGTGTACTTTGTCCATTTGTCTGTTCTACTCCCTCCTCTGTCTGGTGAATCCTCTCACTACCCCTGCATCTCTGGCCTGTACCCCAGTTTTGTATGCATAAATATATCAATCTTTTGAAATATTTTTTAAATCATCATATGCCACACATAAAAAGCTGCTAAGACAATAACTCGCATAAATTATTGTCTTAGGTGATAAATTAAGTGTAAACTGATAAATTGATACACTGAGCTCTTAAGAATTTTAGAACATAGAAATCAGTAATTAATTCCTTTCTTTCAGTTTATTCAACCAAAGGTTAAGTAGACCAGCAGTACCGACTCCATGGAACTGTGGGTAGGAATATGGAACATGTTTAGCAATCATCTAGCAAGTAAGTCAGCACTCACGAAATGCTGTCTATAAATATCTAGGTAAAAAAAAATGTGCTCTGTCATTTCTGGTAACCTCCTCATAGAGGTGATGCCTAACTGCATATCACAAGACCTTTATGGCACTTCTGATCACAATGATATGAGTAGGAGATAGAGAGGTTTCTGAACTTCTCATTTCTCTATATCAGTAGTTGTTAACTGAGGTGGTTTTGTCCTGTAGGGAGAATCTGGCAGTGTCTGGAGACATTTTGGGTCATCACAACTTGGAGGGAAGATGGTACTGGCATCCAGTGGGGAGGGAACTGAGATGCAAACATTCAATGCACAGGAAAGTATCCCCTCCCCCACACTGTAACTCATTAATGCATTAAGGATGAATGCATTAATGATTCGAATAGATTTCTCTTTTATCCCAGTCAATCACATGCACATCACTCACATGGACACCACCTGTCCGGGGACCTGACTGGGGAGATGAAGGGAACAGGGCTTTTTGGGTATCTACTCAAATGCGCTCCAAGGGAGCAGTGGAGTAGATGTTATAAAAGTACAGAGCAGCATCAAGAGTTGGTAAGAGGACAGTCTGCTTTAACTGCTCTTGGCTTATGTCTGCCTAATTCAGCTAGCCTTGGCCAGAAAAGAACTTAGAGGGACAAAATATGATCATTTAGGAGCTCTGGGAAGGTAGCTATGACAAGTAATGCCAGAAGCAGACACTGCTAGACAAATGTGTTGTCTGAAGAAAATCAAAAAGTTCCAGAGGCACCCTAGGATTTCCACCAGCACTCTTCAACTTTTTTTATTATTATCCATAACCCCCAACTTCTACAAATCTTTTCAGACATTCCCCCCCATCACCATGAAATGATAATACCACAAATCTACCACATGTCTGTCTGTGCTGCAGCCTTGTGGTGGCCCACAGACCACTATAATATCTAAATTGTTTTGCCCTCAAAGAGCCACTTTTCACACCTTAATGGCAACACCACTCCCACTGCGACTCTATGAGGTAGAACAAGTCCCTAATATATACAGAGAGAGATAGGTCTTTTCCCAGCTCCCACCATTTTTCCCCAACATGTCTTTACATTTGTTATACCTCCCAAACCATATCCCCCGCAAGAGATGTACCAGCTCTCACCACTGATAGCCTTACATTGACCAACAATACCATGTAAATGTGACCATGTAAAATAACACATGAGTGCAATTTTAATGAAAGGAAGTACCAGTTATTAGTAGTAAAACAGTAAAATACAAGTAGCTCTGATTGAGGCCCTCCCCGTGGACCCTAGCCCTACTTAGATATGGTCACTGACCCTGATTTCCTTGCTTATGTCCAAGTTGGCTTCTGATAGCCCTGGAAAGACAAGGAAGCTAGTTTATTGTTTGTGTCTCAATTTATGATAAGAATTGATTAATGCAAACTAACATAACCACTATGGAAAGCTGTTTGGAGGTTTCTCAAAAGATTAAAAACAGAGCTTTCATATGACCCAGCAATCCCACTCCTAGGTATATACCCAAAGGACACAAAAACACTGATTCAAAAGGACACCTGCACCCCCATGTTTACTGCTACTCTATTTACAATAGGGAAAATGTGGAATCAACACAAATGCCCAAAAACAGATGACAGGATTAAGAAAATGTGGTACATACATACAATGGAATTATTACTCAGCAACCAAAAAAGATAAACCTCGTACTTTTTGCAGTAATATAGACGGGGCTAGAAGGGATCATTCTAAGTAAAATAACCCAGAAAAAGAAAGAAAAATACGGGACGGTTTCACTCATAGCAGGAGCATAAGAGATCAGGGAAGAAAAACAAGAAAAGAGACTAGCCAATGTAATAGAGTAAAAATGAAAACAATGAACAATGAAGACATTTTATGGGGGTGGGGAATATGGGGGTGGATCGAAACTGGGGAGTGCACTGGACTGTGGTGATGGTATGGGGATGAATTGGTGATGGCAGGCCCATTAGGGATTACAACTGAGATGGAAAAAATGCACAAAATGAAGAATGATGTAAAAAAAAAAAAGAAAAGAAAAGAAACTGATGAAATCCAAAAAAAAAGAATTGATCAAAAAGAAAAGAGTGGGTTAGATACATGGAATTACTGCCTATAAAGAATATGGTACATTTTTTTAAAAAGTAGCTATTGCGGATTTACAAATGAATTTTACCAAACTTTCAGAAAAGAACTAGTGCCCATTTTATACAGACTCATCCAAAAAACTGAAAAAGAAGGAAAACTACCACAAACGTTCTACAAAGCCAACGTCACACTAATACCAAAACCAAACAAAGA